AGATTGACCGAGCCAATTGCTAGGGAGCCGGATACCGGAGGTGGGGAGAGCCCCCAGGTGCCTTTGCGGATCGGGCCCTCCTCCATGTCCGGGGGGCTGACGGTGATATATCCGACGACTTTCACTTCGAGGTCATCCTTGTCACTCGCTGTGCCAGGCCTGTCCGGTCGCTGAGACAGTGTGACATGGATCGTACTTATCCGTGCCCCTATCTTGATATCCTGTACTCTCAAGACTGCGGGCCCTACGACTGTTCGTCGGAGGAACGACAACTGCATTCCGATGGGTTCTGGTGTGCTTCGGAACTGATTACACTTGGTCTCTCTAAAGTACACCGTGGCTAGTCGGTAGAGCACACTTGTAGTATAACCTCCATGAGGCACTGTCAGGCATGTTAGAAGAGACCATCAATATGCCTCGGGAGGTTGAACTTGCCGCTCAAGATGCACCACTGGGGGTCTAGATAAGCCGAGTATGTGTGTGAGTCGATCGGCGTGACATTGATTGCCTTTTCGAACTCCGCTGAATGGCAAGGTTCTGCCATGTTTCTGTTGCAGCCTGTAACTGTATCAAGGAATGGTTATTCGTCTTCCCACATGGAGCTCCGTGAAACTTACCACGTAGAAATTTAGAATGCCTGGTCTGATTACGATCTGCAGGGTTTCATGGTTTCAAAGATCATGGAAAGTAGCCACTTAATTTATTTTCTCGCCGTGCCCGTGATAAAGGAGCTACTGGTTTTGATTTTGGAACCATTCGGGCCTCGGCCGGAAAACAGTTGAGTGCGACTTGGCCGTTGATCATGTATGCCCTGCGCTCTGTACATTTCAAAGAGAATTGTCCCAAATTTAGAGGCCTTGCCCTCCATTGTTGTAACATGGAATGTCAATACCTGCTCCTTATTTCAGCGCAAAGTCTCATACATGATGAGTGTTTGAAGAAAAGACGATCACTAATCATGACTCGCCATCTTATCAATCTTATCTAGCCTCGGATCTCAGCCATGTGCTTTGTCCCTGTTCGAAACTAGGAAGACCACAGTTAATCATTTTGCAGTAGAATAGACAGAGTATTTCCGAGGGACTCTGCTGGCTTTGCTGTCTGTGATCTAGGTGAATTTCTGTTCAATGCTACTAATCTTGCTCTCATCCAGAGATTCACCTGGAGCATATGTTTTGCATTCTATCCTCCAAATAGAGAAGCAGAAGTGAATACTCCTCTAGGAAGCATGGGTCTCTTACTACGGTAGCCATAAATACCTGTAGTTATTGATGAGTCTTGATTCAGATCTAGATTACTGTGAATACTGCTTTTGTATTGCCCGCTATATTCACTCTATGCCATCTTCCCTCCAAGGCAAGCTCATTCATTCTATACTCTTATTTCATCAACTTCTTTCTTACAATCCACCAGCTTATTTGGACTTCTGGATCTGCGTAGAGTCATCCTCGAAGGGCGGAGATGTGTTCAGTGGGCGTTACTTCCTGCTCTTTGTTGTGAGTTAACCGCAGCCGCACAGGCACCCTCTCGGATCGCAGTCATCTAAGTGTCCTGGCCACATCACCCGCCTAGCTGGCTTCGGCCAAACTACCCATTAGTAGCTGTTCATATGCGCCTTGGACTTTGTCCTCTGTCCCGTGGACAAAATCATTACTTTAATTAAAATAATGGTTGAGTACGAGATTTCCAGACGCTAGTTACGGCGCCTTCATAATTTTGAACACCCGCGGCCCGGTACTCGTCATGGAAGGTTAACAGGGTATAATACTTGGATGCCAGGCGAAATTAGCAAGGCACGGAATACACTCGATCAAGGAATGCTTACCGGCTCGATGGTCCTATTGACACAGTCGAGCTGGTAACAACCAGAGAAGTACTGCCAGATGATCATCTGGCGTATCAGGGGGCTGTGTAGCAAACCCGTATGATTTGAATGGTAAGTTGATTGTGTTCCTTAGCTAAGATAGTCTAATCCACCGTTGATGATCTCTGGGCAACGGGACGGATAACAATACAACCACTAGTAGATACATGGTACGATAAGCGTACGCGACAGGCTGCGCCGGGATGGGTGGCTTCGGTGGGCTGTGGGAAAGTGCATGCCTAGAACTCCCTATCGCTTCACAGCAGGGCCTGAAATAGCCATAGCACAGCATTGACCTCGCTGAGATGCTGAGCGAGGCCGTATTAGTAGCTATGGAGGTTGTCTGTCTCAAGGACCTTGCTTTCCGGGACACTTGCATAGTCAACATCTTTGGGTTACTGGCGTAGCTGATCGATTGCTTACCTTGTGACAGGTCTTGGAATATTCGGAGGGACAAGCTGCCATTCTCGAGCCCTGATCTCCTTTGTGACCACTTTTATTGAGTCGAGAATGACGATTCTGGTATCCCTGATTTGCATGTTCGTGAACCTGCTCCACCGCTTCGTATAGTCTTCGGATAAACTGGCTCCTTATAAGCCTGAGCATATTCTCCCACTGTCTGGTATCTGCATCCGCTGAGGTAAGTACTTCGCTGGTGATAGTCACAGGTATTGTTCGGACGCTAACCCTTTGAGAGATTATAATTTCACTGTCCCGATCTTGGATCAGTATAGACACTGTACTATACTTTGCTGCGGTAATGGCCGACGATGAAGGCATTGCGCCGCTCATGCCCAGTGGACCACGCACCAGGATCCACATAAAGTATGTAGAAGAGATCTAAGGATCTGATCATGGGCTGGAAAGAAGATCTCTGCGAGGAGCTAGTTGAGCCAGGAAGGAGAAAGGATGTGTATGCTAGCGATCGGCCGTTGGTACAAGGTGGTTGGTCATGGTAGGAACCGTAGGATAATAGGTACTGAGACGATGACGCTGGAATCTTGATAGTTGTTGGTGGTATTCGTTGATAGTTAGTTAGTTAGTTAACGTAATCGGTAAGCGAGCGGATCACTATACCATAGAATTTGGCCGCGGCCGAAATTGGAGGCTATTTTGAACCCCTAAAACATGATTATATTGCTAAATCTAGTTATTCTTGCGCTGCGGACATTGCAATCGCCTATGGCCTAGAATATGGCAGTCACTGCAGCGTGGGGGTGCCCGTCGAGGGCGTTGTTCTGTATCTACTACCTGCTCTGGATGGATAGTTGGGATAGCTTCAGCAGCCTGATCCCTGCGTTGAATGATCTCCTGCCCTTCCTGGATAGATAATCCCTCTGCAGTTTCTATCTGCCGCCTAGATCGCTTCTTCTTTTGAAGCTGCTTTTCATGTGCAGCATGTAGATCATGATTTTCCTTTGCAAGAAGGACAGCGTTATTCATTGCCATCTCACACCCCTTGATGATCTGACCTAGCACAGCCTTACTAGGGGTAGGAGGGCTGTATGTACGCTCCCTAAGTAGCTTCTTAAGCGTAGTTTCCTGCTTCTTCAGCTGCTTGAGATTGTAAGGTGTTTTTGGGACAGAATTAGTTGATCGGCTGCCTGGTGGTGTAGGGGTTCTAAGCTGGATATTAAGCTGACTGAGCACCCGATCTGGATTTAGTGGTATTAATCCAGTTGCTGAAAAGCCACTCTTAATATTATCTGCTGAAAAGATTGCCGTACGAGCTTGTGGATAGGCCTCAAGGAAATCAAACTTGTCAATATGGTTGAAACCAAGCCGCATCTTATCCTCAATTAAGCGGCCATATGCACGCTTAAGAGGAGAGAAACAGCCAACATCTAGAGGCTGGAGGAGATGTGATGAATGTGCAGGCATGCAGATTGGAATGATATCATTCTCAGTGCAGATTTGATCAAACTGTGGTGTTAGATGGCTCCCATGGCCATCAAGAATTAATAGTCGATATCTACCAGTTGTACGACTGGTAGTAGCAGGAATAAAGACTTTTTGAAGCCATTGTAATCCAATCTGATCAGTCGTCCATCCATTCGCACTGACCTCAATCCGCCAGTCTGCTGGTAAGGCTGTATCTTGATACCATCCCTCAATATGGACCTTTCCCTTGAAGATAATGCATGGTGGAAGCACCCAGCCAGTAGAGTTAATACACTCTATAGAGGTAACCCATTCGCGGTTCCCTGGCTGGATAAGGAAGGGCCGACCAAGCATCTCAGCTCTTGTAACTACCTTAGCAGTAGCTACTAAGCCCATTGCAAAGCCAGTTTCATCAAAGTTGTAGATATCTTCCAGTGTAATCCCATGCTGCATTATTGTGATCTGGACACGATTGAACCATTCCAGGATAATCTTTGGGTCTTCGCATTTAGCACGCTGGTGGTTATAGCGCCTAGAGAATCGGGTTTTGATCTCATCATGCCGATTAATGAAGTTATATACCCATTTCTCTCCAACAGTCTGGGTAGGAGTTGAACCACGCTGCGCAAGCAGGATATTTGCCATTTCTCGTACATGGGACGGTCGGGGAGCCGCTCCGCGTTGATCCATAGATAGAATCCATCTAATAAGCGATTCCTCTTCATTCTGTGTCATTTTATGGCCATTTGCGCGTAATTCAGCTCGAAAAGTATGCCCCTTTAGGCGCCGCTGGAGGGTAGTATAAGGCACATCATAGACACGCGCAGCTTCACGAATATTGAGGATTTCCTTCTTTTTCAAAGCTGATACTGCAAGTAGGACCCTTCCCTCCTGCTCAACTGAATTTTTCGAGTTTATACGCGCTTTTGGTGGCATAGTGGCTGGCTGAATACTGCAGCTTTTGAAATAGAAGTCAAAACGCGTTTGGTGATCCGCTCGGTTGCGTGATCCGCTCGCTTACCGATTACGTTAGTTAGTGCAATCACGCTGAGTCATAAGCTGTTTGGCATGTTTGCATTTCCTTCCGCCACAGTGACCACTGAGTAGTACGTACCTTGCGTCGAACACCGACTTTATTTGTTTCTGACCCACCTGCTTCCTCATCTTCTTGTTACTAGTTACTAGTCTACTACGCTACATAGTACTATCACATACTTTATCTTTCTGAATCACAACACATTTGCCTACCTGGAAAATGGCTCCCCCGATGAGTCCCCGTCCCCCAACCAACTCTCGCACACGCAGTCTCAGAAGTGCTTCTGTGGAAGCCTCACCCCGTTCTTCTCAACAGATTTTCAATGAGATTGTTTACAAGATTCCAAAGATCAAAGAGTTTACCGAACTTATCTACGAAGACATCAATTCGGAGGATGGTTCATTGCTCTGTCAGTCACTAGTAGACGAAGGACGCATTGAAAGAGGTTCCATAAGTTATGGCTTGCCTTTTGCTAATACACAAATAGTTCCCTTTGACCTTTAATAACATTTTGTAACAGGGTCAACTTTAACGCGCATACCCGTGTACTCAGAATCAAGATCATGCTGACTGAACTTCACGATGTCCATCAGCGGTGGGCTATCAGCTCCATTGTACCTTGGTACGCTCGTGGCCTGATAAATCTACAAGAGAATGAGCTCCTGGGTTCTGGTGCTGGCACAAGTATGTACTGTTCACTTCTGCGGGATTATTACTTCTACTAATACATCTTAGCTTTTACTGGTTTTGCTGGAAGGTACCAAGGTTCTCACAAAGAACCAGACTTCTTTTTTAGAGCTGATAGCCTTCCCTTCCCCTCGATTGTCATTGAAGCAGGTTGGTCGGAGTCCTTCCCGCATCTGCGGAATGATAAGGACCTATGGATGCATGGATGCGCGTCTGTAGAGCTGGTCATCTTATTAAGATGGACAAAGATCTCGGGTAATCGTATCAAGGGAACTTTAGAAGTCTGGAGACGCAATGGGGCCGGAGGCCTCAGTGTTACAGAAATGGTTAGTATCCTTCAATCTCAGGTCTACGACCGAAAGCTAATATTAAAGGGTTTAGCCAATATTTCCTCGTCCGGTTCCTCTGCCCGCAAGTGAACTTATTGAGTTTACTAGAGGCCAACTCTTCGGACCAGCGGTAATAGCTGGCCAGAATCCTGGCACAGTACTTTCTCTCGACGTGTCCAGGCTGAGAGTGATTGCTGAGGAGGTCATTACAATGAGGATGGGCATGACACCTGCATAAGTGAATCGTGGATGTGGGCAGTTCATCGGTATGTTTAAAGAACCTGCTGGACAGGACAGCAGGTGGATTTACAAGACTATGCTGGATAGCAGGTGGATCTACGAGAACTTGCTGGATACCAGGTGTGTTTACAAGAGCCTGCTACTAGATAGCAAGTGTGTTTAAAGGAACCATAGAGAGGCATTAGATATTAATTAGCAAGATCAATCAAAAATGGTCCGTGTGAAAGCACGAAAATCCACATCCTGAACAGAGTAGAGGGGTAGCCTAGATGTTGAATAGTTGCGCCAGACACAAGCTATGGAAGGACTAAGGAAGTACATAGGCTCAGACTGTAATGTGATGTGGCCATGCTGTATTAGATCTTAAGGCTATGCAGATACTCTGGTAGTGATGTTGAGGTGGGAGTTAATGAATGGTATGGATCAAGGAGCTTCATGACATGTCTTTCTACTTTGCTTTGCTAGACCTGCCTCATAACCTTGCATGTCTGTAGTAGAATTTGCGCAGAGATCAGCGCAAACCACACAAGGCGAGTCAGATCACAAGTAGACCAACAGACCGGATCATTGGGAAACCATCGAGAAAGGCGCCGACCTCCTCGATCCGAAGAGTCTGTCAACCTAAAGGGGGGCCCTCCATTTATAGCGATGCCTCGTCCAAACGTTCAAATCGAAATATATTCGTGTACACATCATCTCCAGTTGTGGGCGACTTCCATCCCAGGCACTTCCAGTGGTCCGCCAACTTCCATCCCACCGGCACACCATAGGCAGCGACTTCATCCACGTGGTTGACGCCATGCATATATTCGCGACCCCGGGAGCGCTGCGCCGCGATGTAGGATTCGGGAATCTCGTCAATGGTGTAAGTCACGGATCCCCTGGCCAGCTGAAATGCGCGAGAAAGGACCAAAGACACTTCATTCCTATCGAGGTAATGAAGGGCTCCGATGCACACAATGTGATCCACGGGGTCCACCCACTCTGTCAATACATGTTGTATGGGGCCAACAAGGACGCGCTCATACCAGCCATGAAGAAGGCATTCCGCCCTCATCTGCGGGGATAAATCAACTCCAATAAACCTGGTGGTGTAAATGCGATGATCTCCAGAGGTCACACCCTGGGCTTCTCCTTTCAGTCTTGCGAAAAGTCCCGTTCCGCAGGCGAGATCCAATACGACCCCGTCGTAATTGTACTTGGTCGCAATCTTCTTGACATTATCATGGTAGATCCCGTGTGTCACGGCGTCATATTTTGGAGCAACACCATCGTACTCATCTCCCACCTTCCTCAAGAGCTCCGCACTGCGAGAGTGTACGCTGAGGGATGAAGCGATCACTGAATTGATCAATAACCGATGGCCGCCCGGGAAGGATTCACGGATTGCGCAGTCTTCAACCGAAAGCTGAGGTAAGAATATCCGTGACATTGGATCTATGCCGATCAACATTGGTTTTGAGTTGTTTGTCACACGGAAAAGTACTGTGCACCAAGAGCAACCATGCATATCGGTGGCATGGAAGGCCCCTTCAGCAAGGCTACGAATTTCGTCATATAGACGTGGATTTGAGGTTCGTTTCAGAATTTCTTTTTGGTGACGGATGCCAGGGGAGAGGGCCACCGGTGTATTGCCCAGCTGTACGACGACACAGGCGTACTCATCCCCGGCGGCAACTAAATGTCTGTTATCGTCGCTAGATGGGTTTCCGCTATCAAGTGCAGCAAGACGCAGCTGCGAGCGGCCAGCGAGATCTGGTTTGCATCTTTCGAGAATTCGACTCGGTAGCCCGATGAAGGGAAGCCTTAGCTCCTCAAGGTATTTCGCGATCTGAATTCCGGCGCTCTGAATCTGATCATCGTGCCACTCCCATGAGATAAGCATGTAAACGTCGAAACCTTCGGCGGCGGCAAGGTCTATGTCCTGCTTGATGCTGTCTTTGCTGATCAGCCGGTGCTCGAATGTGTGTTGATCCGTGTATAGGCCAGGATCGGGGTAGCCATCATCACCCCGGGAGGGGTTATCGGAAGTTTGGAAAAGACAAATCCGCATTTTCTTTCTTTGCTTTCTTTTAGGATAGATGGTTATATTTCAAAAGTAAGGAATTGTCAAGCAGAATATGCATCTACTATGAAATGGTCGTCTACTAGTGGTTCTTTCCATTGAACCACCAAATTAGTGGGAAGGTGCACTGTAGTAAATAATTCTGATACACCAGTCAGCATCTTTAGAAAATATGCGTATAATCTCAATACAGGCTGGTTTACAAAGGCTCTCTGTCTTATCGGCGTGTAACTGGGTAGAAGAGAGCTGGAAGCACCGAACGCTACTGGATGAGGAGAATAAGTCCTGCAATGTAACTTTCCTGATGACTAGCATTAAGGCAATTGCGCAGGATTCCAGTCCAGACGATGAATATCTGGCATCGCTTGAACGTTCTGTCAGGATGAACCGAGGAGCTGCACTGGTGCCCAAAGAACTTGAGAAAGATACTGGATTAGTGGAACAAGCTGGCCTGCAAGGTATGATTAGTTCTTCCTTCCTTAGTAGATTTGCGAACACTTAAGTGGGGGGAGATCAGCTGTGAATCTGCATGCAGGCTGCAGGTTAAAGCATGTTCTTCAGCCAGGATCTAGTCTAGACTAGATATCGGTATTGCGTCCCATGCGTTCAACAAAATCAATCCCCGCAGTGACCCTACCTGATGCTACGTCACAGGCTTACAGTTACAGCTCCTGTTCCCCTTGAAAGTGATTCCCCTCTCGCTGAGTTCTGTGTCGAATGATCTACGCTTGTCCCATGAGGGACTTCAGACAAAGCAGCATAACAAGGACACAACATGAAGATTTGTGGTCTTCACTTGGGCGACGAAGGGATGGAGGCAGGCACCGAGGATCCTGAGGACGTCTGGCCCCGACCCCGGCCTCTTCACCAACCAACACACGTTTGAGAACAAATACATCTACAAGGCCACGTCCAGGGCTCAGATTGATGAGGCCATCGCAGAAGGCTACGACTTCTACCTCAATTTCAGGTGGGGCACCACCGACGACGCCATCGCCGGTATTGAAGCAATCGAGTACTTTGAATCGTTTAACTTGCCCTCGGCGGGACTACACAGTGAAGAGCGCCGGCGGTCCAAGTTTGACTTCTTTGCTAAGGCTAAACAGCGGGGCGTGTTGCATGTCGAAATGGCCTAGTGGGTCAGGAATCATCTCCCCATGCCAGCCAAATACTCGGTGTTGATAGCTCGGGGAAAATGCTGCAACTGTGTGAACAAGGTGGATGGTACAACCAGCTCATCTGCGAAAGGATCGTGCAATTTCTCGCTCGCTATGATGAAAAGATAGACCACGTCGTCTGTCTCTCCGGACTCGAGAGCTTGTCCGTGGAAGAGCTAGATTTTGTCCTCTCCAGATGTTTCCAGCTGGCCAGGGGTTCGATCACGTTAGGTACCAGTCTGGCAAAGCAGGCCGACAGTATCAAGTCGTTGGGGGGCGCCTCGTAGTTGGCATCTCGTCTCTCACAAGTCCGCAGCCACTAGCACTGGGACAAGCTCGGTGACTTTCCAGTTTGCACGACAGGCACACAACGAGTAGGTTCAAATATAGGATAGATAGCTAGAAAATGCGGTACATTACCATATTCCTTCTACCTCCTACCTCCCCTACTCCCATATACGTGGCATAACTAATCGAAGGGAGGAGACTATTGTCGGCAAGTCTTTCCAATAACCCAGTTTACGCATAGTAGTAATCAACATCATGATCGACATCGAGGATCAGCCATAGTGGGTCATTCAGCTAAGCCATGTTTCTATAGTTCCCCACTACCTACCTTAACCGCCGATCATTCCACCAAAACAGGTGAGACCGTGAGACAGGTACGGAGTACATAAAGTTTGTATCAATGTGAAATACAGCTGCAGAGCCTACAGGTCATTCTCAATTGGATCCACGTATAAGTCGACTATCTGACCTTCGAGGTCAAATTTCACCCCGAAACGCACGTGGAGCTCTTGCGTTATCAGGATGACCCGACCCTCTACACCAAGCTCCAGGAGCTGGCAGTCCAGGCCTTCCACGCCAACAAGATGGCCGGCCGGACCTGGTGCAATGTCGACATCCGTGTGCCGCCGCCGGGACAGGGCGAACCCGTCGTCCTCGAAGTCAACCCAATGCCTGCCGTCTTTCTCCCTCTGGACCACGAGTGGGAGGATATTGCCATTCGAGAGAGCTTCCCTGGTGGACATCGCGCCCTTATCAACATGATGATCGCAAGCCACCTTTTACGCCGCCGCGCGCACGAGGAGAAGCTCAACCGCGTCGCAGAAGTGTACGATAATGTCAGCGTGAAATACGACGACACTATTGCCAAGCTGCCGCAGGTATCCGCGATCTACCGCAAGATCTTAGACCTGGTAGACTTTTCCCAGGGCACGATTCTCGAGCTGGGTGCGGGCACCGGTCTATTCGGTCGCGCTCTGGCTGAGGAGATGCAGCAGCGGACAACGCCCCCGGACTCGGATTCGGACTCTGCATCCAGCAATAATCAGACGCCCTCCTCCTCCTCCTCTTCCCTGTCACCTCGACCCTACTCCCTAACTGGTATCGAGCTGTCCCAGGGAATGGCCGAGAAATGCCGACAGACCGGCGTCTACGAGAAGATTCACCACGGAGCCGTACAGGCCATTCTCCCGACGCTCGGCCCGTTCGACCACATTCTCAGTTTGTCGGTGTTGTACTTTTTGCCTCCGGTTGATTTCTCCCTCACCATGGTCCGGTCGTTCCAGCTCGCCCGGAAGAGTCTGGTCGTGTGGATCGATGAAATTCCCGAGACTTACACGGCGAAGCTCCTGGAGATGGGACCGCCCCATTCGCACATGATCGGGTATAACCACTTGGAAGACATGGAGAAGACGTTCTGCAATTCACCGCCGCCGAGATGGAAGCTGGCCGAGAAGTTCCGGCAGTCTGGGTAGCACTCGCCGGTCACGGGCGTAGAGGTATATGTGACGGTATATCATTTCCAGAGGGAGACGTCCTGAATCGGTTAGGGATTTGGTGAGATACCAGGCAGAAGGAGAGATACCAAAGATTAAATAAATAATCAATAGCATTGAGCCAGGTATATACCATTTCTATACGTTCGGCGTCAATTAGGAAGGATCAGTAAACTTCGTACTGAACATCCCGGCCACCAAAGGCCCCGAAATAAGATCGCCGGCTGTTTCCGCCACCACCATTGCTTTGCGTTGTAGATCGTCACGATGACTCGCTGATCAACTATGGATCCTGCGAGACTGTGTACCAGAGCGGACAGACCGCAGCCACGAGCAAAGACATAGTAACCGTTGGATCCTTGGGTGGGTTGGATATGGATTCACCAACTAAGGTAGGTCAGCCAGTAGACTAGGACCCTGGGCAACGGGCGGACGGCCCGCTTCCGTGACCAAATCTCCCTTTATGTTCCAGTAACACTCCCCTTACCCAATTATGTAGGGGATGATTGTACGACTACTCTATATTTAGGCTTAGCACAAGGGCTCTTACAGAGTATTTAGTACTATTCAGTACCGTATTTGTGCGCATAGTATTAGGAACAATGTAAGCAGGCTGGAGGAGATCTGCTTAGGGGTTTCCTAGCGAGCGAGGGGTCATCGTCTAAGCTGCGAGATCCTAGTACGACTTCATTGTTTCGTAATGATAGATCTGTGCAATGATCAGAACGAACCGCTTGGTCTTCACCAAGATTTTCGGGTTCTCCTAGATTTATTGAGTTGTGTCCGGAACCAGGGGAAACTTATCATCCAAGTGAGGCAGGGTCGCTGGCGGTTCGCCACGTGACACCTATATCATCTTAATAATACCGTAGTTATTAACTAGTTAACTAACTGCATAGTTAACTAAGGTACCTACTATCTTGCAGGACCTCTTCCTTACTAGGGAACCCTAAATACGGAGTAGATCAGGTGGTGATCGCCTATGGGATTAAGTTAAGTTACCTGCGAGAGCCATGCTTAGTCATGCATGATAACGTATTCGGTAAGCGAGTCGGCCACGTAAGCGAGTCGGCCACCCCCATCAAGAATCACCACCCCTTTGAAACCAAGGCTATTCAGCCATCCATATCACCACGAAAAATGCCCAAATCATCAAAATCCTTGGTGGAACGAGAGGGGAGGATCTCCTTAGCAGTTAAGGCTATTCAGAATGGCCAAATCAAATCAGTTCGTGAAGCTGCTCGTGTCTTTGAAGTTCCCCGGTCAACACTTCAAGATCGTTTGAATGGAATCAAATTTCGCAAGGAAACCCGCGCCAATTCCCATAAGTTGACTCCTATAGAGGAAGAATCACTTATTAAATGGATTCTCTCATTAGATCAACGTGGTGCACCGCCAAGGCACTTCCAGGTCCGTGAAATGGCTACAATATTGATCCAACAACGTGGTCAAGATACAACTTCCTCAGTGGGAGAGAAATGGGTATATAACTTCATTTCCCGCCATGATTCCTTGAAAAGTCGGTTTAGTCGTCAAATCAATTATAAACGGGCGAAATGCGAGGATCCTGAAGTTCTTCAAGCCTGGTTCAAACGCGTGCAAGCCGCTATATCAACTTATGGTATTGCCAATGAAGATATCTACAATTTTGATGAAACCAGCTTTGCTATGGGCCTGGTGGCTACCGCGAAGGTAATCACACGATCATCCTGTGAAGGAAGGCCCTTTCTTATACAACCGGGAAATCGAGAATGGATAACTTCAATTGAGTGTATTAACGCCTCCGGATGGGCATTACCAGCATACTTAGTGTTGAAAGCAAAGACTCATATTCAGGCCTGGTATGAAGGTAATACTCCAGCTTCATGGAGAATTGCTATATCATCAAATGGATGGACAACACGAGAAATTAGTGAACACTGGCTCAAAGAACACTTTATTCCTTATATTAAGGACCGAAGAACTGGCCAATATAGCCTCTTAGTTCTTGATGGGCATGACTCTCATTTAACACCTCAATTTGATGATATATGTCGTCAAAATGATATTATTCCTATTTGCATGCCTGCAAATTCCTCACATCTCTGTCAACCTTTGGATGTGGCCTGTTTCTCACCATTGAAACGAGCTTACAGTAACCTCATTGAACGGCTTGTATGAACAGGATATCACCATATTGATAAGGTTGACTTTCTTGACGTCTACCCAGAAGCCCACGCCCAAGCCTTCAAGAAGATGAATATACAGAGTGCTTTTAGAGCCTCAGGATTAGTCCCTTTTAATCCTAACCAGGTTCTGGATAGCCTCATCTTTTACAAGGAAGACAGCCGTCCCAGCAGTCAAGGCACTACATCTACGATTACCAAAACACCGATAAATTTGAATCAATTCAAAAAGCATGAGTCGGTGATCTCTCAATTACTTCAAACAAACCCTCCTACCTCACCAATACAGACAGCAATATCTTACATCTGTAAAGGTGCAGAGATAGCCTTGAACCGTGCTATTCTTCTTGAACATGAAAACCTTCAACTTCACCAGGCCATTGAGAGACGAAAGAATAAGCAGAAGCGTAACCAACACCAAATGAATGGTTTGAATGGCTTCACAATCCAGGAAGCACTTGAGGCATTCAACCATGTTCAGGCCTTAGAGGAAGCAGCTGGTGATACAGGGCCTGGAGATGATCAACCACGCCGTCGGGCACCACCTCGGTGCAGTATGTGTGGTGTTTTAGGACATATACGTACAAGATGTCCTAATCGAGTAGCTGCCTGAATTCAGCGCGTTTTAATGGTTAGATTAACGTGGAATAACTTCCTTTTTTGTATGTAAATCAGAATTCTAGGATATGCCTTGACCGGGTGGCCGACTCGCTTACGTGGCCGACTCGCTTACCGATTACGTTAATGTCACTCGTGATTTAGAACCATCGAAGACAGAGATATGCAGGCAGCAGGCTCCAGATCCACCATCGGGTCCATACGTTCTAGCTACCGACAATCGCCTTCAGCCTGCTTACAGTTCACCCTATTCTAACCTATAGAAAGAGATGATTTATTAGGTATATATAACTAGCAGAATTCAGTAGATATATAGAGTGGTGCATTATGCATTATAAAGCAGAAGAGGAGATCGTACAAGTCCGTAGTCTATACAGTTGCGTCATAAGTTCCTGCGGTTGCTTCGTTGCCATTCATATGCGCTCACGTCTTCTTCTCTCTCGAAGTGGCAGATTTTTGATCAGTTTTGGCAGCTTGATGTTGTGCCTTGAGACTTTCGCCGACTTGGAAGATAGCTCGCTCTGCTTCAAGCGCGAGTTCAGGCGCATCAAGAATAGAAGCCAGTTTCTTAGCGTCAGCCATATTGAGTAATAACCTGTCCTCGCTCCGCTCCACTTCTTCAACCATGCTTGAAGCGGACTTTTCGGAGTCACCGAGCACGCGGGCTACGCGTTTTGCGTATAGTCGCTCCAGCCCTGGAAACGAGATTGGGTTGAGCAAATCTTTCTCAACTAGGTATTCTAGATGTTTGGAACCATTCAAGGCTTCGATGTGTCAGCGAAGAAATGACTTTGCCTGAAGGATGGATGGCCGACCTCGCCAATGCGACCAGCCTCGGTACGCAAGATAGAAGAAAGGGATATTAGGGACACTATGAAAACAGTCAGCGCCAACGTCATTAGTACTCTGTCAGGCACAAAGCATACACTGGAATCAACGCAATTGGAGCTGTGAACGGAGCTGCCATCAAACTCCACCACATCTTCTTGCGATGCAAGTCCTGTCTCTCTGTCGCTATTTTCCGGAGAATTGAGCGAAGTTTCTCTGCCTTGATCGCATTCCCGGGGAACAGAACGTCGACTTTCTTCGTCTCCGACGACTTATCGAGTCTCCTCTGGGCCTTGAGAGAAGGAATGCTTTTCAGGCCCCATTCTTCAAAAGGGATGCGCTGCTGGACCTTATTGCCCCAAGTCACAAGGTGTTTCTTCCACCCTTTATCGGCTTCCTCCCATTTAGCCCATGTTTCCGCGGCCTTGTTAGTGACGCGATCGAGTACCGAGAGCTCCTTGGCGATATCCCTGCTGAGGGGCCGAGAGTAGATCAACGCTCGTTGCGTTGAGATTGGCACCACGAAGAGTCGCATAGCGAAATTGCCAGGTGGATGATGGTAGAATATTTGTGCAACAGTGTTCAATCACTGTTGCTTGGGAGGAATTGTTCGAAGTCAGGGGGTTTCGGGCCGATTATCGATTGGCTTGACAGGACAACCGATCAAAGAGAGTCTGTAAAGGTAGCATGCCTTTGGCCTCTTTGTAATTGCCCCCAAAAATATATTTTCTGTTGTCTGTGGCAAAAGAAGTTTGTTGAAGAGAGGGCTTGTCCTTGTTGAGCTTGGTGGTAGATACCTCGTGGTCCGTATTATTGTTGCTACTAGCTAACCTAGCAGGATTATTATGAGGAGACGTCATGTTCTCAAAATAAGCTGAGATCTGATCCTCGGAACATCAAACGCCTGTCGGGCTGTGTCCCCAACCTCTTCACTATTGTTGTAATGGGCTCCAGCCCGGCAGTATTTGGCTTTTTCCCTACCTTCATTTTCTCTTCAATACACTCGTTTCCGAAATAAAAATTTCCGGGTAGCTCGGTCTTGGTACTGCGCCTCCTTTCACCACAGGGAATTTGAGGCGATGCAGACTGGATCCATCGCTTCCCGAACTCAGAGATCCGACGCATCCTCCCTGGAAATAATTGTTACTTTGGAGGGCAATGGCACAGGATGTGCGCGATTCCCAACAGCAGCCTCTGAGACTTGAACATGCCTTGGACGTCGGTATCACAGAGAAATCCCCACAGTCATTAGAACCGCCAACCCGTCTTACAAACGGACTTGAGAAAGACAAGCGCTCCGAAGACACTCCACGCAATAGCACATTAGATGCGTCGGCTGGTGCCTCGCAAGCTATAGAAAACGCCATC